CAAAGCCCCAGTAGATAGTTGTATGTCATAGTTGCACATCCTTCTAGTTGCTGTATGTGGGACGCGGCCTCAGCATGGCCAGAGAAGCTGTGCGTTGGTGCGCGCCCGGGATCCAAACCTGGGCTGCCAGTAGCGGAGCGCACGCACTTAACCGCTAAGCCACCGGGCCAGCCCGACTATGCCTTTTAAAACTACCTATTTTCCCTTTTCCCAATTTAAGAATCAATTTAATTATAAATTGTTTATTCAGTAATAAACACTGAATTCATTATCTTTTACTGTATCACTTTTAATAGACTGTTTAATTATTACCCTTTCCCCATTCTTCTGTAAAGGATAGACTGATCTTATTTGGAAGGCTGCTTTGAGAGTCTTAGTCTTGTCTGAGTTACGTGGCTTTAATTGCTCTAAAGCCATGAAGGTTTCTTTGGTAGCGATAGTGGTGATTGTTATGCTAAGTATTACCTTTTCCCTCCAATCCACCACTTTATTTAATACAGTGATTTCACTACACTTGCACGAGTCAGTAAATCAGAAGGATATTCCATATTTATCCATAATCAAGTACTTGTAAGGATGATACTTAACAAAAAAAAAACAAAAAACTCCTGTGGCTGTATCCATGAGAATCTGATGAGCTTTATTTTCTTTGAAAAATGAGTGCAAGAAAATATCTACAAGGTATTGAATCATGTGAAATAAATTTGTTAGTGTGAAAGTTGAATGTGACAGTTTGGGTGCTCCTGTATGATCGATCCTGTTTAGATTAAAGAGAGACTTTGTTTTTAAGAAAGAATCTTTGGGATATTAGAAGATCCTGATAATCATGTAATCTTGGAGTGTAATAAAACCTGGGAAAGTATGAATGTGGGTAGAAGTCGCATATTTTTGGAAACTCTTTAATTTTTAAAATTATTTCTTATTTATATTTCTCTGAACTTGTCAACTTCCTTGAAAATAGTCACTAAGTGTTACTCCCGAATGGAACCCACATTCTCTTAGTAGCATTTGTATTTTCTCTGTGACTTAAAGAAGAAATTTCTCTGGTCTCTGATATCTTATAGTCAAATAAATCATTTTTTTTTTTTAGGTTTCTCATAAAGCATTAATATTTTCTGTAGTCTGGAATAAATTATTGATAACTTTTTGTGTATAGCCATCTGGTGCTCATATTTAAAAGCTGGCTTTCAAAATGCATTAAAGTCAGTACCTTTCATATAAGAAAAACTCTGTTGCCTGCTGTTCTGTTGTAGAGGCTCTAACAACGCTAAAAACCGCCTTGGATCTGGAGCAGATACCTTCCAGGATAGCAGTGACCCGCCTTATTCAGGCATGTGCCTTGAAAGGTGATGTGGAAAGCATACAAGAGATTCAGAAGATGGTAAATGGACTCGAAGAGTCCATTGGACTTTCAAATATGGTTTTCATCAATAACATTGCTTTGGCACAAATAAAGAAGTGAGTATTTTCAAGCTTTCTTTTCCTCCAGTGGATACTGGAAGGAGCATTATCTCAAATACCACCTTTTAAAAACTTTTTTAGGCTATTAGAAACCTCAGGAAATACTGATGCCACTTGCTGATTATTCCTTATTAGGGAATAATTATATGTTACAAAATGTATTTTAGCTTTCAATTAAACCTTAGAATAAACAACATTTGTAAAATCTTTCAAATTCGTAAAACTTGCTCCACCGTTGGTAACTTTTCTCATTCATACATGCCAGACCCTTACTGTCAAAACACTTTGTTACAGAGGTGAAAAATGAGTTTATTTGATTGTTAGCAACACTTGAGGGTGACACTCTACTAGAACATGGTGAAACAGAGGGCCCAGCAAGCTTGCTACAAATAGAAATTTCCATTTTCCCCACTCTCCTACTCCTACCCATCCACTCCTGTCGACACACACCCAGAAGAAGGGAGGGAGTTAGAGGTGATTCTTTTACCACCATCTCTAGATTGCTTGTCGAGAATCACCACTGTAGAAGCAAATAAAAACTTGATTTTTATTAACCTCACTAGCACAGTACTTTGCTCAAGTTAAAGATTGATGGAGGTAATTAGAGAATTGACACTTCCTGCTCTTGAAGAAATATATTCTTTAGTAGTTCATCTTACATATGTTTAATGGATCATGATATTAAAATGTAGCGTTTGTTTTTGCAGGGTTTTTTGTTCTTATTTCTTTGGGCAGAGAAGAGTTGTGTTTGTTTCGTTTTTGCCTTTTAAAACTATTTCCCCAAATAGAGCTTTCAACTTTCCTTTTAATAAGAAAATGTGATTATTTTAAATTGGAAGATCAAGGAAATTATCCAAGTAAGATCTGGATGAATTTTAAAATGTTACAATTTTATATGATGTGGAGAATGTTTTTAATCACTATTAAATAATTCTCTAAAACCTGTAAGAAAAATTTATTATAACAGGGTGTTCATTTTTAGTTAGAGAATTCTTATGTTTTAGGTCATAATTTCAAGATAAAATTGATTATTTGGATTTGGAGTGCCATATCATAACTGTAAAGTGTCAGTTAAAGAGTCCCTTAACCAAAAAGATAATCATGAAGATAATTTTTATTCTAACTTGTTAAATAAAGCCATGTAATTGATTTTTTTGAACATAAAGTATGAAGATACTTTTTTCTGAGAATTTTAGTATAAGTTGAATTTTTTTTTTTTCTTGGTGAGCAACATTCACTTGAGGAGTATTAGCTCTGAGCTAACATTGGTGCCAGTCTTCCTCTATTTTGTATGTGGGTTGCTGCCACAGCATGGCTTGACGAGTGGTATAGGTCCACAACTGGATCCGAACCTGTGAACCCAGGCCGCCGAAGTGAAGTGTGCCGGACTTAACCACTACGCCATGGGGCCGGCACAGAATATTTTCTAAGTGTTGTATAATATCTGGAAAAAAAAATTGTCGTGACTGTGGGTTGAGAGACATGAAAATATACCTTTTGAAGACATCATCACATTTTGAAGAATCCTGAGATGTTATATATTATCTTTACTTGATGCAGGAGTGACCAGTTGTAGATTATAAAGCGAAAGTTATAGTACTTAAGCAAGTTTTCATTTTATATCCAAAGAGCTGAAAAATCAAATTAAATATTTAGATATAATATTTTCTTAAGTTATCATCATTAATTCTTCTATACATAGTTGTTTGATCTTGTCTCTAGAGCAGTGTTTTAAAATCAGCACCTACTTCAATTATTGTAGTATAAACCACCTAGTGATTGCTTTTGCTACCTAAATGTGATTGGGTTCAACTTGCATAGTGTTTTTAATCCGGTTAATTATAAATGTATTTCCTTTTTTTCCTTAAGTATTTGTATGTGTGAATCGCAAAGTAAGTTCTCATGCTAAAACTGCCTGCAATATTAACACAAAAGCAAACATTTCTTTATAATTTATTTTCCTTTCTTTTACAGCAATAACATAGATGTTGCAATAGAAAACATTGAAAATATGCTTACTTCAGGGAATCAAACCATGGAACCCCAGTACTTTGGCTTGGCATACTTATTCAGAAAAGTAATAGAGGAGCAGCTGGAACCAGCAGTTGAAAAGAGTAAGTTAGCTCTTCTTGCTAAAGATCATAGAAGCACATTTCTCTCTAGCGAGATTGGGCTCAATTTCTTTGGAGGATGGGTTATAACACTATTTAAACGAAAGATTTTTCTTACCTGTTGTTTTTTCAGTAAGCATCATGGCAGAGAGATTGGCCAATCAGTTTGCAGTTTACAAACCTGTCACCGATCTCTTCCTTCAGCTTGTGGATTCAGGCAAGGTGGATGATGCCAGAGCTCTGCTACAGGTAATGACCCACCACTCGTGGAGCAGTGGGGCTTGTGGCTTGTGAGAAGTAAATTGAGAAATTACTGGACATAGGTGTGTGGTAGGATACCGGAAATGAAGTGTGGTGCTGCTAGCACATTTAAATTCACTGTGAATCAAGGTCGCATGACAAGGACTGGATTGTAAGTTGTAGATTTCTGGTTTTAAAGATGCCAAATCAGGCTAGAAATGTCCTTAGACTTAAGGTGGATTGGGGAAGACGTGTTTTGCTGAAATGATTTAATGACCAATATTTCTGTGCAGATAGGTAATGCAAAACAATTCCTTTGATTTCCTACTTTAATTTCTCTAATGCTCTAAATACTGTGCATCACCATGGCAACACAGTTGGCAAACAAAAAGTAGGAAATGTTTGCTTTTCAAGTACAGCTTCTCACTTGAATACTCAGACATTCTCAGTGCCTTATTCAAGGTTTATTAGGAGTTGAATTTGCTTTCCATTCACTTGGTGTGTCACAGACACGTTAAATGACAAATGCAGGTCTCTGTGGCCCGCACTCTCAGTTAAATTAGCAATCTTCAGGGAAGGAGACAACTGCATTCATGCCATTTTAACAGCACTAAATATAAAGCTGCGCCAAGTGCCAACAGAACGGTGGGTGATCAGAGCTGCCACTGGCAATGTACACAAACAGGCACCGCCAGGGAGCCCCTTCCCAGCAGGTGGCAGTCAAACAGTCACCGTGATCCCGCCAACGGCTGTGTTTGTGTAGACTCCCTGTGTCACATTGAAGCCTGGGACCAATGTCTGAGAGTAAATAGTATTAGTTCACTCACATTTTCTCAAGGTGTAAAACATCCTAAGTCGTAGATCCGGGAGGTGAACCTGTACCCATTTGCTCCGGCTCTAGTTTGGATCCTTCAAGTTCATCTAGTTTGACAGTAGAATCGAAGCCACTTTTAAAAGGAGTTCCTAAGAAATTTCTTCTCTGTGTTAACAGTTTTGTAAAAAGTATAAATTGGCACTGCCTCTAAGGCCTTTTTTACTTTTGTTCCTGGACAGAGCGAAATTCCAGTTAATTGAGAATTTTTTGTTTGTTTGTTTGTTTGTTTAACAGAAAAGGCAACTTAGGGTAGGGATTTCAGGAATCTTCATTATTTTATGTTGCTGCCTTTAGTGTTAAAAGTTCTATCTTGAAAGGAATAAACTCTAATGCTTATCTTTGTGTGTACGTATCTAAGTGTACCTACTAGGGGTATATGTATATCTAATTATACATGTGATAGTATTCATTCAGTTTAAGCACATTATTTTGATAGTTCTTTAGAAAGTGGCACTTGTTCCTTCATCTCCCATCTTGTTCTGAGCTATAACCTTTCAAGGCTCTTAGAGAACACAACTGACAGCAGCCTAGGGTGGGAGACAGCAGGGATGTTGCCTGCTGCCCTCAGAGCTCCATTTACCCACAGCCGCTTGTCGGGGCTCTGGATGACAGCTGAGTGTTGATGCAACAGCAGCAGTCTTTCCGTTTTCATCCTTCAATAGACAGAGGTTCAGATGATAAACCCTTTACCCATCCTTTACCTGCTTGTCAAACAGTAAAAGATTATTCTCGCTGTAGTGAAGAATACTTTATTCACAGATGTCGAAAACATCAGTTTATAATGTAAATGTTCTGTGTGTCCCCAAAAGTTCTTTTTATCTTATTCATTTTAGTATTGACAGTGTTTTAAATCTTTGAAAAAGGAATGTGCTTTTAGAAACTTAAGAGAATGACATCCATGATGAGTGTAAACTAAAATACTGTCTTGCCATATTTGATTTTACTATAGCATCTAAGATTGGATAGACACTTGATTTATCTGGTCTGTCATATAAACTTTTTTTTTTGAGTTTAACTTTTGTCTCTTTCTCAAGCACTGGCTGTCTGTTGCAATGAAAGCCTTTTATAAAATAGAGAGATTGAAATCAGTCCTTTTGTATGCATAAGTGTAGGTAATTATACTTTAAAGAGAACTTGCTTTGTACATTTTAATTTTTATAAAGAAACGAGCAGTTATCTCCCTGACACCTTATTAAATGTATAATTAACCTTATGATCCCTAGCTCACTTGTGAATGCTTGGCAGTATAATTGGAGAGGAATAGTGTTTCTTTTTTTCCTCTTTCTTTGCAGTCCTAAACCTTATGCTGTGGTTGTTGAAGCATTAGTTTAATTTTTCCCTTTTCTTTTTAAACAAACTTTATACTTGTGATGCCAAGGACAGCATTCACAAAAGCTTAGCATAGCTTGCACTTGTTTTCTTTTTTCTTGCCTTAAAAAATTGGTGGACTATTAGGCCTTCCTGTTGGTAATGATACATTACTGTATTATTGTGAATTTTCTTAATTGGAAATATTCACCTTGGTCTGCTTGTTTATCAAGAACTTTCACTTATTGAATAATGTTTCTGTTTTTAGAGATGTGGTGCAATTGCTGAACAAACCCCAATTTTCGTGGTGTTCTGTATTAGGAGTTCTCGGAGACGAGGAAAGGTACTGTGCTTTACTTGCTGACAAGTCAGTGGTGCTGTAAGCCAGCCTTGTTCAAAGGTATTGAGTGTCACATGAGAGCTTGTTGGTTCAGGACCTTATCTAAAAACACTCTAGAGATTGCAGACTTGCTTGTCTGTGCTTGTTTACTTTTTCAGATGTTGCTACAGAGTCAGTTCTGGCTCCTTAGTTGTACTGGAAATACAAGGGCAAGTTTATGCAGTGAATTCTCTATGCTTGTAGTTGTGCAGTAAGAGCCCCAAGAAAGGGCCCTTAGAAATGGAAGATAAAAATCTTGTTGCTTAGGTCACTTGGTACATTCAACAGTGCAGAAGCACTTACCACTGCAGAGCATCTCCCATCAAGTGGCTACTTTTGACCATTTGTCAGGTATAAACCAACAGGTAGATGAGCCATTTGGCTTTATAACTGTTATGTGCCACAAATTAATGTTCTCATTTTCTAGTTACCTTATTTACGCTAAAAGGTGTGTGTGTGTGTCTGTGTGTAAAATAGGACCTAGTCCTATTTTTTATGTTTTTAAAAAAAGAATAAAAGCATATTTGAAAAAAAATTTTTTTAGATCCAGTTTTACCTGTTGAGCACCAGAAAGCCCATTCTTAGTTTATTTGGGCACATTATGAAGTTTCAAACTTAGTGCCAATAGTAATGTTTGTTTTATGTGAAACATTTAGATTGTTTCCAGGGTGGGAGTTCTGGTTTTCCTTAATCTCCATGCTCTTCCCCGCCATGTACACACACTTTTTTGTTTAATTTACCTGATTGCACTTTTTATCTGTGTCATGTATTTATTTACAACAAATAATTTTTAAGAGTATTTAGTTGCCCTTTCTTTCCTTTCAAAGAGACTATTTTTTAAGATTTGTGATTAAAAAATTTAAGAAATCTAAAAAGCACCTGTCACTTCACATGTGTGGCTGTGCCAGGTACCTACTGCCTTGCTCAGGAGATGGGACAGGAAATGTACAGTAATATATCTGCTTAGAACATTCTGCCCAGGAGACTTTAAATTGCGGGATGTCCTGGAAAGATGCAGGTCCAGGTATAGATTGACTGAATAAACATGCTAAAGAGTGAGTTAGAGTTTTTAAAAATTCCTATTACAGTATCTAGCTCTTTGACATTAGAATAATTAAGCCAGATTTAGCTTTGTTTGGTGAGATGGGAACAGGGCATAAATGTATATAACATCCATCTTTTGATTTATCCAGCAATATTGGAGTGTGTTTGGAAATATTCAGTGGTTATTCATTAGGGGTATGGCGGGTGTGTATTCACTACAGGAAATAAAACCATAACTGTGTCTAGATACCCCCTGAAAGCAATCAAGTAAAAATTCCAGTGAGATCCTTGAAATGCTCTGTTTATATACCGAGTAGGGAAAACTTCGGAATGTTTGACTGAATTCTTCACATTTCATCTAAAAATTTTGGCACCTAGAGATACAGTTATTATGTCTTTTACCCTTTGGGATCACATAACTTCTTGGTATGGTTACCAGTTCACAAAAGAAGCAATCTTTATAATATTTTAGAAAAATATTCATAGAAATATAAATGGCATTCCATTAACTTTTGAAAAATGCTGGTTTGTTTTGGCTATAAATTATTAAATCGACATCAAATACTAAGATATACAGAAGGGAAAATAGTCCATTGAATAGGCAGTTCTGTTGTAATTATTATCAAGATTTTTTGATAGAACACTTATAAATGGACCTTATATTTCACTGTTCTTTTGAGTTGTGGTAATGTTACCTGTATTTAATTTCCTAGGCACCAACTCTGAAATCTTTATTAGAATTGATTCCTGAATTAACTGAAAAGGAAGAAGCATACACTTCCATCATGAAAAGCTATGGTAATAAGTTGAATCTGACTGTATTATTTAAATGATTTAAATATTTGTAGCATAGTCTACTAAGTCTTCAGCTCAAAGGCAGTAATCTTAAATGTCAGATAATTACTTATGATACAATAATTTATTTAGTTTTAGAATATGTTTTAAAACTATATTTAAGAAAAATATGAAATTATTCATGTAACTTGAACATAAAAAAGTATCGTCTTCAGAGGGTATGTTGAGTAGGATCCCAGGCTCCTGGAAAGATTTGGAAGTTCACTTGGATTTACATATTGGGAACCAGTCCAGTCTCCTAAGGCTCTGCCACCTAAAATAGAACATGAAATAGGTGCACACTGGAGACTATTGCTTAACTTGCCTTCTTGCTCCTTCAGTACCCTCCCTGCCTGCCTGCCTTCTCCTTTGAAACAGTAAAGCTTAATTAAAAAGTGGACCCCAAGGTTTTACCTTAAGTCACGGTTGAAATTCCACTCTTTTAAACAATTTGTTCCTTGATTGCCAGGCAATCACATATGAAAGAGAACCAGTCTCAAGTTTCCTCAGTAATTAAGATAAATGTTAGCATTTCTAAGTTGTGATCACCTGTCCATCTGCCACCCACTCATTTGCTCAGTTGGGGGGCGGATATAACTAAAGAATTGCTTTGTTGATTTTATTATTGGCAGGACAACAGACTCAGCCATCGAATTAGTAAATTGGGTCTCCATTTTTCCACCCTTATGAGGGGAACATGATGTATTTTAAAATAGAGCTATAATCACAAACCCTCTCAAAGTTCCATTTGGGGAATTGGCAGATGTTAAATAATAACTAAATAACATGAAATAATGTCAGACAGCACAAAATGACTACTAAATTGTGTGATCCCTCTTGGGAATTGCGAAGGAAAGGAGCAGGGAGATCAGGAAGTAGTGAAAGGGAAGGTGGGAGAGTTTTCTGAGTTTCCTGGAGGATTTGGTCCCTTAGGGAGGGGAACAAAGGATTTACACAGAAGAAATTGACATCACCCAAACTGTGAAGATCTGTTCAACTCCAGTGAGAGCTTGTGAGTGATTCATCTTCATTACCTTTTGGGAGATCCTTGGATTGATCCCTAAACTTCTCACATCCATCCTGGAGCCTCATGTTGGTGCTGCTAGAGGTGGGATTGGTTCTTCGGCGTCAGTGTAGGGTATGAGTTGTTAGGTGCTTAGATATCAATCTAATGCAAAATTAGAGAGTTGGATTACCAACAGCCGTTGTTAGCAGAGCCCTTGTAATCTCAACAAACTTTTAAAAACAAAATTTCTGCGAATCAGCTATAAGTGGACAGCCAGCTAAACTTAACTTCTAGGCTACTTCATCCAGTTAAGTGAAATATTAGTATAACTTGTTCATATTAGATAGATGTGTATATAGTTTTCATGTATATTGATAATGTATATAGATTTTTTTTTTGTCATTGTAGCTAACTATATTCCTCCTATTTGCTTATTTTACAGTAGGAGAATATACTGAAAGTCTTTTTGGTGTTGTTTAGCTGATGATATTGATGTAGATATAGATTTGCACATAACTGACATGCCCCTCACCACAGCAGTCCCCGAATTAGCTTGATTTCAAAGTGTGGTTTTAAGCAGAGGGTTGAATGGTGTGTGCACAGTCTGTTTGAGAACTTCAGTTTGTGGTCACTTTATCATGGGTCTTTTAAAATAGCCATATTTGTCATTTTCCTTCTCTTTCATAGTGAATAATGCTGAAAGAGAAGTGTGGGGAGGGAGTGAGGGAGCTTGTAGATTCTGAATGTGGCTTTTGCTAAAGGTAGTTAAGTATTTGTTTGCCATGGGATAAAGGGATCCAGGAGTCCCTGAACAGCTAAGTGTTTTGGGAAAAGAGGAAGATAGATTGTGTTTATCTATGATTAATATCTTTTCCTTCAGTGTTGGACAATGATGTCGCGTCTGCTAAAGCGCTATATGAAAATTTGACTGCAAAGAATATAAAATTGAATGATCTGTTTCTAAAACGTTATGCAGTTTTTCTGAAGAATGCTGGAGAGTCTGTCCCTTTCACTGAACCCCCTGTGAGTATGTCTTAATTAAGGGGAAAAAATACCTCCACGGATTTATGAATGCTTCATAATAATGTGTAAAAAAATAAGTCGAATACTTAATTACATGTGGATTAAATCTCTGTGAAGAACCCTCAGGGAAGGGCTTCAGGAACTGAACAGCCGTGCCTTGATTTGGCTGTGTGAGAACATAGCCCTCTGGGGCTGAGGTTTAAAGTAGAAGGTCAGTCTCAGACCTTCAGCTATGGATATAAATTTATCAAATGTCCTTGGGGCGGTTCTCTCATCATTTCGACTTGAAATAGGATTTAATGGCCTGTGTTTCAATAGCCAAGTATATTATGTGACCGTTAATTAGTTGTTCATTTTAGATACGTTGGCTTTTATTTCTTCATCTAGGAAATTTTTTTTTATTGAAGTATAGTTGACGTAACATTATGTTAGTTTCAGGTGTACAACATAATGATTCAATATTTGTATGTATTGCAAAAATGATCACCACAGTAAGTCCAGTTAACATCCATCACCATACATAGTTACAATTTTTTTTTTCTTGTGATGAGAACTTGCAAGATCCCCTCTCCTAGCTACTTTCAAATATGCAATACAGCATTGTTAGCTATGGTCACCGTGCTGTGCCTTGTATCCCCATGACTTATTTTATAACTGGAAATTTGTCCCTTTTGACCGCCTTCACCTATTTTGCCCACTTCTCCAACCCCCGCCTCAGGCAACCACCAATCTGTTCTCTATATCCATGAGCTGAGTTTCCTTTGTGTGTTGTTTTTGTTTTTGTTTTTTTTTAGATTACACATGTAAGTGAGATCATAAAGTATTTATCTTTTTCTCTCTGACTTATTTCACTTAGCATAGCCCTCAGGGTCATCCATTTTGTCACAAATGGCAAGATTTCATTCTTTTTTATGGCTAAATAATATTCCGGTGTGTGTGTGTCTTTCTCTCTCTTTCCCTCGCTCTCTCTCTATACACACACACACACACAAACACACCCATATTTTCTTTATCCATTCATCCATTGATGCACATTTAGGTTGTTTCCATCTCTTGGCTATTGTAAGTAATACTGCAATGAACATGGGAGTGCATTTATCTTTTCAAATTAGTTTTTGTTTTCTTTGGATGAATACCCAGAAGTGGAATTGCTGGATCATATGATAGTTCTATTTTTAATTTTACTGGTTTTCATACTGTCTGCACCAATTTTCATTCCCACCAACAGCGCACAAGGGTTCCCTTTTCTCCACATTCTCACCAACACTTGTTATTTCTTGTCTTTTTGATAATAGCCATTCTAACAGTGTGAGGTGATATCTCATTGTGGTTTTGATTTGCATTTCCCTAATGATTAGTGATGTTGAGCATCTTTTCATATGCCTGTTAGCCATGTGTATGTCTTCTTTGGAAAAATTTCTGTTCAGTTCCTTTGCCCATTTTTTAGTTGAATTGTTTGGTTTTTTGCTAATTTTGCTAATATTGAATTGTATGAGTTCTTTATATATTTTGGATATTAACCCCTTATCAGATATATGATTTGCAAGTATCTTTTCTCATTCAGTAGGTTGCCTAGGAAATTTTATTTTATTTTGTTGTGTTTAATAAGAAAAATTGTATGGGCAAAATTTCTTTTTATTGGGTCATTGAACTAAAAAGTCACTGTACCGTGTTTATTTCAAACACCTCAGCCTTCCAAACCCAGGTGTAAATACCTACACGCACATGCCTGCACACAGCACAGGCGCCTGGTGCTAGCTTTAACTCTGAATTTGGGGCCCTTGAACTGGTGATTTCATGAATCAGAAAGGAGTGCTGAAGCTTGAGGGGACAGCAACTGCCGTGGGCCCAGCAGTCTTTGCTACCAGTTTGCAGTACTTTACTATTTTTAAGTTTTGTACCATCACCTCTTGCTGGTAACTTTATCTGTAACTTCCTTCCCTTTCTGTCTCCTTAACAGGAAAGCTTTGAATTTTATGCAAAGCAGCTAAAGGAATTAAGGGAAAACCCTTTGTGAAACAAGCAACCACTACTTTGTTTTGTGTGTACTTGTAATTCTGTGTCTAAAATGTTATTCTTTAATGTATTTGAGAGGACAAAATAAATAAATGAAAAGTTACTTGTTTATGTACTTTTATTTATTCATAATATATGATATGTTCAGCATCTTATTGACAAGAACTGTGTGCACTTAGTTACTAGACTTCTTTGGTTTTGCCTGCAGTATAAATCTACAGCATTTTCTTTGAGGCTCCTGATGTGTGGAGCCATAATTTTTCAGGGTGGTTCTCCCAGTTGACTCTTCAGGTCCCGTGTTCTATTTTGTTTATTATTTTCATAAAAAGGTCCTTCCTTTATTTAAGACTTGCTTGTTAATATTGTTTATCTGAAAAATTTTGGAGCTGGGCAAAATGATGCTCAGTGAGCTTTCTCATGTGTAATGTTCTATTTATAATATAACAGTTCTTTACATGTGTGAAGCCCTGCATGGCTTTCCAGTTTTGTGAAATGTTGGTGCTAGAAGGCATCAAATCCAGCGCTCATCTTTTTCCAGTGAGAAGCAGAGACTCAAAGAGACTGTCGCTTGCCCTTGACCAGGGTGCCGTTTGCCAGCCCTGGAGGCTCCTCGCCATGCTTTCTCTTCCAGCACGGTGGCTTCCGTGAGCCTCTGTTCATGGAAGTCTCTAAAACTGAGTCTTAGTCATGGCTTGGATCGTGAAGTAGAGCAATGCATTTCCTCTCATTTTGGTTTTAGATCTTTGTCAGCACAAGCTACACCCTACACTGGGCTTGTTACTTTATACTCATATCCTATGAATATGTGATTTAATATATGAAGGAGTGAAATCTTGGTTTCTATTCACTTTTATAGAAGTTATCCCTAAATTGACTTTTATGCCTGTTAATATCTATGTTGTAAGTAGTTACTATAAAAGAATTTAAGATGGGTAGTCAAAACAGTTTACCATTCAAAAGTATCTTAATATGTAATATTGGCCTATTTGGGGGTTAGGTAATTAATTTAAAAAAAAGTTTAAAATATTTTATCTGAGAGTTATCCCCATTTGGGTGTATTCCTTGTCCATTTGAAACCAGTGTCTCCTGTTGTGGATTCACTGACGACTTACTTGGTTCCCACTGTTCACCTGATGGGAGACCTTGCCTTGGGGGAGTAAGCCAGCCTCCTGCTGTTTGTGCTGCTAACCTGTGTCTTGTGGGACCAGCCATCCTGCATCTGGAGCCCGCAGATGGCGTAAGAGGGAGGGTCGATGGAGGGAAGCCAAGAAAGAAATGTCATCGTGGCATTGGCCATGCTTTTATTCATCTCTGTTTTGTAGACTTAGCCCTAAGGAATCAGGGGGCTTGGCCAGTTCCAAGTCCAGCCTAGAGTACTTAACGCAGCTTTCCTTTGTGCACTCCTCGGGTGCAGGACCCGTACATGTTGTAGTTTTGATATTGTCTGATTTGCCATGAGGCTCACTCCATTAGTGATTCCACTGAAGCAGGCCTTATTTTTTGCTGTTATGCCAACCGTAAGTTACTTGAGCTAAGTTTGATTGATGTTCATTGAAGTAGGTCTCTAAGATGTAGCATACCCTTGGGGCATGATCTGGACTTCCCTGTTATCTTTGGGGAAACTGAGAGTACAATCTCATTTGCATGAAGTGACTCCAAGCGAGCCTTGTATGTTGACTCTGATAAAATGTGAGTGTAGGGCAGAGGAAATAGGTACAAATCCTTCATCTAGCATTCTGAACAGCAGGCTGGGGCTGTTAACTGTATTACATGTATAAACAAAGAACTATCAAGTCATATATCTTTAGCACTGTGTTGGCTTCCCCTTTTGAATGTGAATATTCAAAATGTAATAATTGTATATTCTAGGTGCGTTTATGAATGCTCTTTGAAATATAGTGAAATTGAAATAAATAGAAATAGAGAGTATAATTATAGTAGCAGTCAGTAATACATTTTAGACAAATTATAAGCAAACAGCTAATTCTGAGAAGTAAACGTCACCATAAACTTTTGGAAAGTATAGCGTTCGATATGTAATTGTACGTTCATGTATTTGAACCTAATATAATTTTAATGTGAAATACTTTGAATAAATTGTACTCCAAAAACCTGTGGGCTTCATTTTTATCAAATTTTTACATAACTTCTTTAAACTATTTCAAGGACTTGAGTCTTGAAATTTTAACTTAAAAATTTTGTGGTGGCCTCTGTTGCGGCCAAATTTTCCTTGTTAAATGGTGTACGGTTTGTGTGTGGGAAACCGACAAAGTCACAGCTATCTCTTTTAAGGAAAAGCAGATATTTAATTTGAGATCTCTGAGGTACAAAGTTGGCACGAATTAGTAAAGTTGAATGTGTGGTAAATAGAGGGGACTTTATCTTGCTTTAAGTGTCAACAGGAGCATTTTACAGCCTCATCGATGACTGGGATCACTACGTCTGGACTGTCTTCAGCACACTTCCCCACTCCTCTCTGCCTTCACCCTCCTGTTCCTTTCTCGTCAGTGCTCACTGAGGCCAGCGTCACTGTCACCTCTCCGCTACTTTCTCGGCCCCTCTCCCCACCCAGTATATGAATTGTTCTATCTCCAGGGCTCCTGCAGCCACTTAAAAACAGAGCAGCTATCACGCAGGTTGTGACCTCCCTGAGGACCGGTGCTTTGTCTCATGTTTGTGTCTCCCCAGGCCTAGCTCTGTCCTGGCTCCTGGCTCACAGTAAGTCAAGTTGTCTGTGTGTATCCGGTTCTGTGGGTTCTTTGTGGCTGACACTGGGCACCTCCTGTCATGGGTCAGGCACCTCTCTTGCCTGATACTCATGGTGAGAAAACAGGCTTACAGAAGTTAATTTGCCCAGAGTCTCAGCAATACAGCATATGGCTCGAACTCTGACTAGTCATTTACTTTCTATAAGAGTACAAACAACTGAAGCAATCCAGTTTAAACTCAGTTAAGAATCTAGTTAAAAGTCAAATTGGAATCTCTAAACTATAGGAATATTCTATAAAAAAATTCTTTCACATTAGTACAAGTGTTCCCGGTCTCTGGACAGCTTGCACTGTAAGGTTGTTTTCTTCCATTTAATGAGATACCCAGTGCCCGGCATAATCGCTGAGTTTTCGAGTTCCAGTGAATTATTAAGCAAGCTTTATATTGCAAATTGTTCTTCCTGGTGCAATTTACTTCTCAAATCTCCAGTGTGTGTACTCTGCATACTTTTTCACATGTCTTGGAGTGCAATTTTCATTTAATATTTGTCTTTCTGACAAACCAATATTTGTAGTTTTCTGTAAGTGAAAGCAACATTCCTGAAGTATGGTGGAACTAATAGCGGCAGGGGGTACAAAATCATGGTAATTTATCGCTTTGCTGTTGTACAATCACGAACATGAATGTTTCCATTAGAAATGTATCCTGCTTTCAGGCCTCAGACTTTACAAAGCCCACATTATGCAGCCTTAGTACAAATAAAGGAAATGGCTGTATTAGCAAATTCAAAATAGGTTTTGTGCATGAAGAAAAGAAACATCACCGGGTCCAGGTAGAGCATAAACATTAAACCAGCTTCAGACTTAGTGTCCCTGCACATTTTTTGGACAATGGTTGGCTGTCAGGATCGTGCTTAGAGTTCTCTTGAAGGTAGGATCTTCACCAGCCCTACCCTCAGGTGTGCACTTGCTGAAATTCTCTTCATTGCTTACCTGTTTTTGTCGTTTCCTCCCCTAGAACGTGAGCTCTCCTAGTGCTCTGCAGACCCGCCAGTTAGAGCCGGGCACTGATAGGCGCCCAGTAAGCATCATCAAAGGAATTGATGGGCACAATATCTGTCCCCCTTTCCAGGTCGTTCCTTCTGAGATGCATGGCATGTGTGCATTGGGGGGTCCCCTCACACACACACGTCTTCGTAAGAGATCAAAGATGCTACTTTGTAGCTGAGAGCTCGGATATTGGGGATGGAGGCCCGTGAAGGCCTTCAAAACCCATGTGCCCCCGTGAAAGCATTTTCAGGTTTGCTGTCAGGAGGAAGAGGGCTCTCAAATGTGTTGGAAGTTAGGAAGTCGCAAGCTGATCGCAAGCACAGTGCAAGAGTGGAATCAACAAAACTAAAGAGCTTCATTTTTAACAGGACAGTAGAGCTTTTTAGCAATTTGGGGAATCATTAACACCTCCAGTTTTACAAAAAGACAAGACCATCGTACAAACGACGAACATGAGCACTGTTACACAGAAAGCTGAGAAATGTTACCCAGCCTTTGAGTTAGTATGTATTTAAAAATCTTAACCCACTGCTTAAAACATTATTGTTTTAATTATTAGCTGCTAACACCACATGTGCTGCTATACCCGGGCCACCAGCAGAAATGGGCTGTGCTCCATCTGCCTGCCTCCTCTCTGCCAACGCTGCCTCAGGCAGACCTTGTGATGGGGACACAGGATTGCTCTATACCCCAGCCACTTTAAAGGAAGACCAATCATTTTATCAAAAACAAGTGACAGATGACTGGATTTGGATTACCTAGTTTACACTACAGTCATGCGTTGCATAACAACGTTTGGTCAATGACAGACGGGTGGTCCTATCACATTAGTACCATGTAGCCTAGGTGTGTAGTAGGCTATACCATCTAGGTTTGTGTAAGTACACTCTATGATGTTCGAACAACAACAAAATTGCCTAACAACACATTTCTCAGAACGTATCCCTGTCCTTAAGTGAGCCAGGGCTGTATTTGCAAATAAGGACGTTTTCTTCCAGCTATGAGCTTATTTTCCAAATAAACACAGGTCAACCAGCAAGATGCTCCCTCACTCCCACATCCCAGTCCCATTTTTTCTTCCTCGAGGCTGGTTGGTGCTCCAGACGCATGACTAGGCCCAAAGGAAAGTGGCACAAGGCGGCTGTGCAAAACTGCTAAGTGACTAATTTGAGTCTCAGTGGAACCCCGAGCCCCAGGTGTGTAGTTAACACTTGCGTTTGGTGTGGATTTAAATATTGCTGCTGCCAGCTGTTTGATCTGGAATCACAACGAGAAGTGTGGGAGAAAAGAAAAAAGCAAATACAACATGTATCTCTGTGAGCCTGACCAGGGAGATCAGCTTGAC